ACCTCGCTAACCTAATGCATATTTTAGATTGTCTTCTGTGGAAGAGAAGCCCTAAAATTAAATGGTCTTATTTTATACCGCTAAAACTTGTTCTCCTCGCTTAAAAATACACCAACAGTTGAAGAAGTTCTGTGAGATAAAACAGTTGTATTTCTTAAGTATTATTCAACCGCTGACAGACAGGTGCTGTGGCAATGTTTGATCGTGAATGGAGTGCCAAGAAAATACACCAAACTAATCAAGACACTCTACTTGAAGTCACACAACCATGTAAGAGTTAATGGTGAATTGTCTTCTTAAGTGATGATAACTACTGGTGTCCTTCAGGGATGCCCACTATCCCCATTTCTGTTGAATTTCATCATAGACATACTAATGGAATTGACGTTAACTGGCTTTAGCGGCTTGGGGGTTGACTTGCCGACTTAGAGTATGAGAATGATACCGTCCTCCTAGGTGGAGACACTGACAAAATGCAAAGTCATCTGAACACCTTGAGCAGCAATCTGAAAGTATTTGGCATGCAATTCGCTCCTTTCAAATTTAAGATCATGCTACAGGACTGGAGTACATAGACTACTTGGATTAAACATAAGGAGTGAAATAGTAGAAGTTGCATCAGCTCCAACGGACTGATTGCTGACGAGACCTAAGCACGAAGACAAAAAGCTCGTGTAGCGTTTGCCAACTTGCGTCATCGCTTTAGTAGACGTGATATCCGGTTCGCTCTGTCTTTCTTTATGGTTGTGAAACATGGCCATTGAGAATGAAAGATATAAAAAGGCGAACTGCATTTGATCACAGATTTTTTCATTCCATCTCCCATGTTAAGTGGTATGATATGGTGAGTAATATCGAGGTTAGGCGTCGAGTGCCGAGACTGAGATGCTGAGTCACCACTTTCCTCAACGGACAACGCTAGATAAAAGTGTAAGGGGTGGTTAAATCAAACCCTGGAACCAGTCCAGACTTTGACAGTTGGACTGAGCGACGTGGGGAGGTGCAGACTGTGTAGTTAGGTTCCTCGGGATTCTAAAAACCAATGACTGAAGATTATTGGTGATATGGCTGAAAATCGCCCTCAGTGGCGCAGATGCATTCACTCTTTTTGTGACTTCACATATCCACCCTCTTGTTTTTCCTTGATGCTGTTCTTTTTCCTTCACATTTCTGCTTATTACAGCTCTTTTGTCTATCTTTATGTGCTGCTTGGTATATGGCAACTTGGACTGCTTCACTTCTGTGTTTAAAGTCAGTCAATCAGTTATTTTGCATTCTTTACTGCCTTCATTCACACGGTTATTTTAACAGTAAAAATCTGAGAATTTAATTTGCTTTATTAGCTACTATGGTGAGCCGATGGCGCAGTGGTAAGATGCTCGCTAACCATGCGTGTGGTTCGGGGATAGATCCCCGACCGACGCACTCCTTTACCTCTCTAAGCCAGTAATAAGACTGGTAAAGAGGGAAGGTTGGGCATGAGGTTAGCAACCCTATCCCGTAAAAATAATCACCACTGCTACAGAAACTTCAAGCCTCTAGCTTGAAGCCCTATGTTCCACTGGGATCCTAATGGAATAAAACAAAATAATTAAAAAAATTGGCTACCATGAGAATGAGTCACACAAATTAATTCTAAAACTAATTATAATATAATTATTACTACTTAACTACTACTTTTGATTTTTATGACATATCTTGTCAAATAACCAGACAGTGACATGCTGAAACATGAAATCAAGATGTGAATTCGAATAACTGGAGATGTTCGCAACGGTAAAAAAATGCTTCTTTGTTAATGTTAGTAAATTATAATCCAAAGCCTCAAATTAACATATGACTATTCTTCCAATAGACTGGAAAAATGCACGCATCTAAATATTATTTTAGTATGCCGCTGACTTCCACCTAAATACACACTGTGTTTTGCAATCTCGGGTAATAACATATATTGACAAACACAGATTAACTTAATCTCAAAATATATAAAGTTTACTAATGCAGTAGAATCGGATGAGGAAACTCTAAACTTCCTGGATTGTTTGCATGGAGGATTTCATCATGAGCTGACATCAGTTAGAGAACCACTGGAAAACCACCTGGGAGTACTGGACAGCTGTTTCGCCCCAGTTTGGGACTCTTCATCAGTACGCACCCACCGGGATTCGAACCCAGGACCTTCTGGTTACAAGACGAGCTCGTAGACCATTGAGCCACTGGGACCCGATCCAATGGTCCTTGAATTTTAACTTCTGCCAATTCACGACATAGCGCGACCATTTCGCAATGTCTTCTTCGATGAGTTACTGCCTCATCTTCAACCTGCTGCACCCTACTGGTCACGGCTTCCTGGATTGCCTTGTAAAAAGATTAGCTGACGAGAAACTAAAGTTCACGATATTACAAGAAACCGACATATTCAAACATGCATTTGAATTTCCAATCAGATCAGACAATAAGAATGAAAGTTTCGGTAGCTTTAATCTCGTTAACAAAGCTAGAAACAGTATAACAGACAATCATTATCTGGAGAACGAGATCTCCAATATAAAACAAATTTTCATTGGAAATGGTTATCCGAAAAAAGCTACTAAATTAATATTATCAATAAAAAGGAGCAGAAGGGAAAACAGGAAAAAATTAAAAAATCTTGGTTATCGACGATAGCCATTCCATATCGAAAGGAGACAGCTGAACAACTTCAAAAACTACTTGCTTTATATCATATTAAAGTCTATTTCTAATTCTCTAGAGAAAGCTTTAGTGAATGTCAAAGATATGGTTCCCAAAATGTCAGAATGTGAAGCTTGCTTATATATGGGAGAGCAGTAAACAAGTGAATGAATATAGATTGTGTACGAAACGTTCGCCTAGAGATGAAGTAGAATTAAAGTCTAGAAAAAAGATCAGCTATAGCCAGATATGCTATAGATAGCGGGCATAAGATTGATTTGGACAATGTCGGAATTCTAGCAAGAGGCTTTCATTCACATAAAGAAAGGTTGGCCTCTGAAGCCCTGCATATTTTAACCACATTGAGTGCAATAAATAGGAGAGAAGGGATAAACTTATCACCTGTATGGCAGACTATAATGAAGCAAAATAGACCAGGGAGAAAAAGAAATCCAATTCTATATTATGAAATATTATCATGTTTTAACGTGTTTTCCACATAACAAACAACATACACACACAATCAAACAGACAAATACGCATATATGACAATTTAGCATTAGTCATTACAAATATGTGATGACTGTTTACACTTCCCTATTAGTACAAATATCTACTGACAAGTGACCTTCAAAGGAACTGACTTCAATTTATGTAATTTTTGACTATATATTTTGATGGTTAATAAAATCCGAATAATTCTGCTGAAGAAACTGTGGTTTACACGGTGAAACGTTCAGAAAAAACTTGTTCTGACTTTTTCTTACACACGCTAGGATTATTTTAAATAATTTATAATAACTCAATCTAACTCGGCGTTCAAATTATTCCAGGAAATTCGTAACAACTACGGTCTGGAAACTCATAATTGACCAACTTGATATGGAGATTAAATTTGAAGCACTGACTGAGATGGTTAGGACATGTGTTACGTATGCCTAGTCATCGCCTTCCTCGACGGGCAATGTTAGCTGACACAGGGTCAGGCTGGAAAAGAGCTAACGGCGGTCAGAACAAACCATGGCACAAGTCAATGAAATCTACAGCAATTAGTCTAAGCCACGTAGGAAGATTTAGACTTCCTGGTTGGGAACAATTGGTGATATGGCTCAAAACCGTTCTCAATGGCGCAGATGCCTCCACTCCCTGTAACTTATGATTTCCAATGAAACTATATTGTTCTTTTTTATTACTATTCCCTTGTCTCACACCTCTGTTTACTGTCTATATTATGCATTTCTCCTACTTTCTTCTCTTGCTTTCTGTGTTACATGGAGTGTGGCGACTTGAACTGCCGCACATTGGGGCAAAGTTCTATGTCGAAAACAGACAGACAGACAGACAGGAAACAGTCGTCTTTTCAGATTTAAAACAGGAAATCTGTACATTGAGTTGCTGTAAAACATAACCGAATTAGTAACGACTTTTCTCAACAACAAAAAGAGACAAAACCGAACTGTTTGGAAGCTTGAGGAACAAAAATATTGTAAAACACCTGTACTTTAAGGGGTATTTTTCAATGTTGAGACACTCTCTGGACTAGGATCCCGTATGATAAACATGTTTACATCGTACTGAATACTGTCGAGACAACAATAATTTACTAATGATTTATCCTAATAAAAATAATGATGCAGTTCCCTCTACAGACTAAATCAAACAACAACTAGTTCTCAAAAAGTTATCCAAAAATAATTGACAAAATCTCGCTTGAAATTTGAAAATTAAAAACTCCACCATCGACTCTAAATTATTCTGCTCTATGAAATCACGCCAATATGGCTTCATAAAATGTCATAACAAAAGAACGTGACACCATGCTCAATTTTGGAGGTAAATAGTATGCATAACTAACATCGCACTGAAATTCTTAGGTCATTATGAGGCCCACTATACAGCATTTATAATTCAATAGGTGACATTAATGTAACTGACAGGTAGATGACCTACCTCTCTTTCTAAGTGTTGCCTAGTTGTATAGCGACTTTTAACATAAAAAGGAATGCATATAATTTGCACAAACTGTACAAAATTGCAGTTGCAATGATCCCATGTCTCTATGAGCATCCTGATGGTGATATCACTTCCTATTGTAAAAATTGACAGTCTCTAAGGTAAGTTCAAAAATTATAAAACCGACAGAGACTCCTTTCCCGGAGAATTCAAGTTTCACTTCAAATAATTATATCCCACAAGGACGCCTAATTAAGAGGTAGTCTGATAAGAATAACACCCAAAATAACAATGCTTATATTTACCCTGATAGCTCCCTTATAAAAAGAGATTGTTTTACTGTCCTTAAACCAAAGAAGAATAGAAATCGTATCGATGTGCAAAACTTTTTAATTTTATTTATGATATCTGTACAAGAGTGATTATGAACTGTTCTCTTTCGTCAAAGTGTTCGGTACATTTTTTAAAAAAAAGATACAATAACAAGTAAGATGAACTGCCATAGTTTAACAATATTACAGTATTAATAGACATATAATAGGGATCTAAAAAAACAGGAATCAATCTTCTACAAGGAGTTGGACAACACAACAAAGTGTTTGTTGAATGAAATATCATAAAAATTACAAAATAATCAGGGAGAAGTTGATATTACGCAAGAGATGATGAACAACAAAGGCGTTTCAAAAAATCTAGCGCATAAAGAGACTAATATTCTTAGTAGTACAATCAAGTTGTGTTCCGAGTATAGATCGGCTTGTTATTAAAATCAATAGCACTTTTGATTCATAATAATTATCGCCAAGGGGGTCTTTTCAACACTACATTTAGACAGAGGAGAATGCGTAATCTTATTTTACTGCAAAATATAATAATTCCTTAGGTTCAGTCATCTGTCGTTTTGATTACAAGAACTTTAAGCTCCAATATCTGGTGCTATTTCCTCATTTGCTGCACTTTCGACGTTTCACACAGACTACCTGCAATAGTCACGTCTTGGTTGCGATGACCCAAATAAAATGGAATACACATATCAGTGGTTGGATCAACAGGTAATCATTGAAAAAGCTCCACACGCACAGTACTGTACGTAATAAACACCATATCTCAAGAAAGTCAATAAATTGGATCAACACCTTCCCGACTAAATACCACCTACTTGTAATTGTTTTAGCAACCGGAATACATTTTTTTCTCTCTTAATAATATACCAATGTGAAAAAAAATAAATGGCAATTTCAGTAAAAGAGGTGAAATAGACAATCAACCTGACAAAAGGAAACTGACTACCTCTTTCATCATCAGATGGTAATAACAAAAACAGTGGAAATATAGGAGGAGATTTATCTCTGTAATATGTGGATTACACACACACAAACGCGGAAGGAATAAAATATACGACATAATTAATGCGTTAGGAAAGAAAAAGATACAAAACAAATGATGATAATATAATATGGGTGATGATGCGAATTGAACTAATATGTGAAGAGATTTTAATTCCACTTTTATTCTTATAAAATCAAGTCAAGATTAGCAAGATAAGTTAATTATGGTGCAGAGAGAGAAAAGGAGATGCAATTCAAAACATACACTTCAATATTCTCTATGAATAGATAGTGATAGCAACTTCGAATCAATACATAACAAAATGTGTCTGTAGAAACTCAGGGTATGAATGCATGACAACTGAAGAAGACAGTTAAGAAAAGACAAAACTACCAACTAATCACCGGAACAAAGCTTCAATGAGATGAAAGTAGGTAAATAAATACTTTACACGGAAATATAATCTGCAAACATGCACATATGAGAAAGAAGTAGGCATGCACAATCTCAAAGATCAATCACAAACACAAAGATAAATTCATCGTAAATAAAAATCTGCCATTTAAAGTATTATTAGTTAACACAACAATACACCAGAAGTCGACAACATGCACACATTATTGAATTCCAACCTTACTCTTCATCTAACACACAATATGATGGTGGTGATGATGATGGTTAGTGTTCTGGACGCTGTCCATGAATAAGTGGAACACTTTCTCGGTTACAACCAACTGAATCTCCATAAAAATTCTTGTGATGTGTACCATTTGAAGGAAAATGATGATAAACATTGTTAGAACCATCGAGTTTGTTATTTGTCTCACAAATATCATTATTATTATTATCATTATTACTACTTGATAATTTTTCTTCATAGCAATCAATATCTGAAAAACTATTATCAATATTATTTTTCAAAGCATTACTGCTACTGTGTGAAATTTCAGCATAACTTTTTTCTTCAACAACTTGAACAGTATTCCCATGTCTCTTCTTTTTCGACAGTTTAAATGCAATAGTCAATACAGCTATCACTGAAATAAATGAAAGCAATCCCAACGAATACCAGACTGTGTTCAATGATGCAAAAAATATACTTGGTTTGTCAGAAATTTTATGAAATCCAGTTAAACGTAATAGACTTGTATTCTCAGCATATCGATCTAAAACACTGCTAAGCATTTGATATTCACTTTGAAACTGTGAATCCAAGTACACGTAACTGTTAGGCGGTACAGCGGAGCAGTTCTCTTCATCTGAACCAGTAACTGGACAGTTAGGTACTCCATCACACCATAAATCTAAGGGCAAACATATACGGTATGTCCAGTTTAGTGGGGAATACCGAGGTTCAATAAGTCTATTGAATAACTGGCAAGCGAAATAGCCAGATGGACAAGTAAATGCAGTAGGAGGTAAACGATCTAGAAATGTGAAAATACACAGTTATGTAATGTGATATTAAGATCATTAATATTTCAAGTATCTAAAAATCTAACATCAAATATAGTGTTTGTAATCTTAAATTACAACCTACTAGACGGACAGTCGCAGTACTAATGTGATTCGTGCTCCCCGTGTATGAATTAGTAATCCAGACATGTGATCTACAGAATTAAACTGTTCAGAATTAAGGAGCAGAAAAAGTCACTTGCGACTGCTAGAAACTTCGCAACCGTCTGCGAAGTCTTTTATTAACACCACCAGAAGTGAATTATGCATCATCTACAAGATACCGATTCAACAGCTTGTTTAAAAAAGATGACTGGAACATTGAACGGACTAGCTTACAGCTACAACTGCACTACAGTTGTCCACTATCTAGTCCCAGTCTAAGTGGAATGTAGACATCTGTTATCTATCTGGAGGCAAGGGTGTAAAGACTGCACCTAATCTAAGACGAGACAAAGCAACAAGTTTTGATGCTGTGTTACGATGGTGAATTCTTTAGCTGGATTTACTAAGATGATAGCTATTACAAGAGGATACCACATATTTCCACCAAACTCGCAGAGATCGCTGATCATTCCAGTTTACAAGAAAGGGGGTAGATCTATTTGTGATAATCGCAAAAGAAACACTTTGACTGACATGTATTACATCTTACAGTCCAGGGAAAACTATCTCAAAACAGCAGGGAGAAGACGTGGGTGCATTGTTCAAATATTCCAATTTCATAAGATTCTAGGAGTAAGGAATTTTTATAGTTTGGTTTGCAAGGGTTTGTTATGTTTTTACGAGTCGATCACCGACTGATATCAGTTAGAGAACCATTGAAAACCAGGGAGTACTGAACAGCTGCTTACGAGCTTGCCTTGTAACCGGAAGGTCCTGGGTTCGAATCCCAGTGGGTGCGCACTGCCGATGATTCCCAAACTAGGATGAAACAGCAGCTGTCCAGTACTCCCTGGTTTTTAATGGTTCTCCAACTGATATCAGTCCGTGATCGACTCGTAAGGAATTTCTACCGTAGGTAACATCTGCCGACCTAAGAGCAGCATTTAAGTCCACCAACCAAGAGGAGCTGTGTCAATGTTTGGTTGTGATGGGAGTGCTGAAAAATTTCAAACTACTACTTCTCTGTCCGAATTTATCTAGCTGTACAAGGGCCCAAGAAGACCTACTGTCTGCAGTGACGACAGCCAGTGGTGTCCACCAAAGATATCCAGTGTCAACATTCTTATTTAATTTGACTGCAGACGTTATGATGGATGTGACTTTAATTGACTCTGATGCATCTGGAATTGACCCATTATTAAGAAAAAGTCCTGATTTAGAGTACACATATCTGCATCTTTCATGGTGAGAACGTTAACAAATTCCAGAGTCCTCTAAACACCCTGCGCAAAAATCTAAGCGTGTTTAGCATGCGATTCACTCCAGCCAAATGCAAGATGATGCTTCCCGAATGCTCTGCACCGACTACCAGTTTATGGAGGGAAATAAAAATGTTTGAATGTGTTGATCAACTTATTGAGGAAGTTATACAGACCCGAATGCATATATTGCTGCAGAAATTTCAACACGGTTATATAGGGCTAATTTGGCACTTTCCAACTGGTTTCATCATTGGCGCCGGTGTCATGATCCCGCTACTGTTCAAAGGGCATCCACACTAAGCAGCAGTTGACTCAATCCTGTTTTATGGCTATGGTACATGACCAGATAAAGTCGAGTATGTGAAAATCATCAAGAAATTTTGATTACACACACCTTCATCCAACTACTCCCATTAGGTGAAACAACATGGTAAGTGAAAATACGCTTAGGTGAAAACTGTTAAAAGTAAGAAGAGTAAGTGTCAGACGATGAAGTCATGAAGCCTTATCGATTGAGTTGGCTAGGACACGTGCTAAACATGCTGAAAAACCAACAAGATTAGCTTCGGAAACATTTGATCTGGATTACATGTTCACATGCAACTATAACATAAATAATCAAATACCACTAAAAGTACCATTAAAGAATTCATCCTAATAAGTAAAAAACCGACTCTACTTTTAAAAATAGTGTACAAAAAAAGGTTGATGTTATTGCATAGAACACACCCGTTAATCACCTTAGTTCAGATCAAAACATGACACGTTAAGATACAATAGTTGTTGAGTTTTTTTATTAAGTTTTAAGTAAACAGAATGTAATAGAAACACAATCTATTTTACGATATCACAAAACAAACTAAGAATATTTGTACTTCTTCCAACCAGTCTTCAGACTACCGAGCAATGAACAGTTTAAAGCCAACTGAGATAACAAGTGCAACACGCATTTACACAACAGTAGATGACGTTCTAATTGATAATTTATGAAATGCCGATCTTCAGCAGGACAGAAAACACCATCGAACCAAAGAACGTCTAACATGTTGGCAACATTATACAGGCAACGATGATATAGCACTCAGTACGCAAGAAATACTAAGCTGGAATAGGAAATGCCTCACAAATACACAGAAAAAGTGCTTATGTCGAAACTTTCTGCGTTCAAATTTCTTAAAATCAGATTAACGCTACTAACGCAGGAGCATACCACAGTGAAGTTGGTGTATGTAGAGTAGTGCAAATATGTGATATACTAGACTATTTTACAAACTTTGGCCGGGCCATTTAACAAAAGATAAGAAAAAGGCATTTAAGAGGGAACCAAAAAATTAGGTGTTTCTTAAAACACGTTGGTTTTAACTGACATCGGATTGGCATGGAAATGTGAAAAAATTTTTAAATTTTAAGATTAAAGCCATTTGGCTACAGACGAAAAATATTTGTATTCATCAAAACGCACACTGTTATTACATTATAAAACTTACACCCAGCAGTGACAACGATATGCATGCTACTGCTCAATGAGTCTGCGTTATGACCAACATTGCCAACTGAAATCTTTAAAGAACTTGCAAGTGGAAACAAGAAAAAATGAGTTTCGTCGATTTCATCTTGGCAACTTCCACTAACCTGAAACAAAACAAATAAAAGTGAGTCAGTCATAATTAAATTTTTATTCGTCGTAAAACTAGGTTTAAAAGCATTGATTCGTAAAGAAAATCAAAGATTCTTAATTCGACTATCCAACCCAGAGAATACAATAATGCCAAGCTCATCCACCTGAGCTAAGAATAGCCTGAATCACTTCAATAAGTTCTTATTTTTTAAGTGAAGTCACCGTTTTGAGGTAGTCACTTTGAAACATAGCAATGAAGCTGAATACAAATAAACTTTGTTAAATTTTTTGATCATCAAAATCAGTAGAGAGATAGCGGGTCAGCTACGAAATCAAAATAAACAGATCTGAAAACCAGCTATTGCAGAACTTTCCTAGGTCCACAATGTGCCACTTAACCAGCTTGTTAATATTCTGGTTGACAGGCACTTGGACTCATATGAAAAATGGGTTAAATCCATTCTATCTAACTCACACCACCCTCTTCACTCACAACTCTCCCCTTGCATCTCATCAGGCAAAACCAGAAGCCTATATAGAAAACTATATGCTCGCACCAGCAAGTACAAAAACTCAACCACACCCTGCTTAGCTCCTGTTCTGTGCGATAAAGAAAGCATTAGGCGTGACACCTATAACTTATTAAATAGTCAGTAGAACAATTGGATCTCGTTTTTCTAACTCATATCATTTATAGGTACGACGTTTTCTTTCTTTTCCTTTTCCCTTTTATTGTTTCTTTGTTTTTGTTTGGTGTTGTTTTTTTTTGTTTTTTTCTCTTTCTTACAAACCTCATTTGAAACACTATTATTATTATTATTATGTGCTGTTTTGTTTCTCTCTTCCTTACAAACTACTTAAAACATTCTTCTTCGTTCTTTCACACTGTATACCTCGACCATTTTTTTACCGCTTATGCCAGTAAATATGCTAGTACCTACTTTTCTAACACCTTCAAACATTCTGTTCACTTTTGGCTTTGCTACCGATATGCTAATTTGTCAAAATTAACTGAGACTACCCATAATCTATGTAGAATTTTATTTATTGCTAATGTACAAACTGGATGCAATACTGTAGTGAAATGCTGAGAATTCCATTCTGTATCACAAGTACTGTTTTAGAATAAAGCAAATTATTATTATTACTATTATTAAAATATCAAGTATTTCCGAAAGATTACTAAGTATTTATCTTCTAACAACAAAATTCCACATCATGATGATGGTTGCGTTAGAAAAAAATTAAGAATACTATAGCATTTCATCATTCCTGTTAGTGGTGTATAGGAATGAACTAATAAGTTTCTGCTGGCATATGAGCTATGTACGGAAGCTTCGATACAGCCTTTAGTGAAATCTTTCAAACTATAAAGTGGAAAATTTGAAGATGCGTTTATTTCAAGTTAAAAATGGTGAACTGAATATCCCCGCCTCCCAGTGACGTTTGCTGTTTGCACTAATCTTATTACAAGAAAATAAACCGCTGGTCTACAATGTCACAATGACCACGTTCAATTTGGGCGGCAAGAACTCACTAACAGGTTTGTAATGGTGATATATGGGACTAAATCAAATCATTACATGCAGTCTATGTACGAATGTTTTACATACCACTTCATACTACCTGACGGAATTTCACTGTGGATATAAGAACGTCTGTTTGATGTTTACTACCTTGCATCACCACTGACAAAGGGCAGCTTCCCATTAGCTAACAAAGGATAAATATACTGAGCAACCGTTTGTTTCTTCCTACTTTACAGCTGAGATAAGGTCACTAAAAGTAGATGCAATCAAAAGATTTGAACTTGTCGAGTGGCACCATGAAGCAGAAATACTGAGGTTGAACGTACATTACTAGGTACGGACCAATGAGGCTATGAATGCCATACGCTTGTACCTATAACATATCACACACCTAACTACCGCCTCTCTACAAAAGTACGCTTAAATGAAGTGAACCTAGCTTTTTATAATGTTGTGTATAGCCAGAGGTGAACGTTGCATCCTTTAATGAAGGCTTTAGATAGTGAACCAAAGCATCAAATAATCAGCACACTTCACAAATAAGTACATAATAAGTGAATTTTAATGGACTTACTTCACCTAAACTAGTTTCACATTCTGAAGTCCTTTTGTGTCTAACATTGGGAATAGCACATAGATAAACTTCAGGGCAAGTAGGTTCTGTAGAGAAGTTTAGACGATGTACAGCCAAAATAAGTACAGATCTATCGTCCCAAATAGATAAATCAGGTACACCCTTCAAATTTATTACTGAAGTATTTGTAGAATAATTTCCATACGAAACTTGCTCGTACTTATATTTCTCACCATTTAATGAAGTCACACTGAAATTATTACTAGTGATTTCTGTAATCCCATGCATGTATGTCTTGAAATTGTACACACATGTTACATGAGGTACCACAGGAGAAATAGACATATTTAACGCTAAATGTTTTTCTGCTATTGAAGGACACACATCTGTCAACACAGCTGTATATTCAAAAAGAGGAAAACAAGAGAAGTGCGTACAGTAAACACGATACAGAAATCTATTCACTTTGTTTAACTGATATGTTACATGAATATCGAACCAAAAAATTGCACTCATTTGGTTCATTAACACTTACCAAGTTGGTGTTATTCAACTATACTGAACCAGTTGACAACATCATGACTAGAATACTATCGTAAGCCCGTATTCACTCCATATTATAATATGGACTCCAAAAGTTTTCATTATTCTTCACTTAATTATTCTTCGTCTGTCTTCGTCTATTCCTTTAGTTTATGTGTGCTCCGAAATGTGGCAAGTGATGCACTTTTGTACAGTTTTACACTGATAAGTAAGATGGTTGAAGGCAATCAGAAAGAAGCCCTGGTCTTAGGTTTCGTACTTTTAGGCACTCACCAGCGAAGCGTATCTGCAAACTCGAAGGGACTGGTGTTCCCTCTGCGTTGGAAACCATATCGCCCAGGGCTGCAGTGAGACGATACCAGTGAGCCACATCAGGCACATCTAGAGACGAATGACTCACATAACGCGGGACATTAAATACAAGTACATTATTTTAAGCTGTCAAACTTCGGAAAAGCACATATAACCGTACAAAAAACTTGATGAAACTACAATAGATGGAGATATACGGCAGAGAGAATAATTTGCAGAATATGAATAGCGTCAAGGGGTAAGCACATCAGCAGCCTTGTGAATCATGTTGTGCCATGTCAAAAGGAGGTAATAACTACCGATTCATATGACCACAGACCGTAGGACTTAGTGACTCATCCTTTTGCGACTGTCATGAATAAACCTGCCCCCTTTCTTGTAAACTGAGATGAGCTGCACGAGTCACATGAAACAATTTCGGACCCCTATATAACGTCTAACGCAGTTAACCCACTTAATAATTCACCAGTGTTATTCTTGAGTACCTTTGAAGTTACGCCACTGGATATTTCACTCCACAGAGCCATCTTAAGAACAAACCTTTATTCTGAAATGACAGTCGTACGACATGTCCAAACCTTAGAAATCTGTTTCACAGTGAAATCGCTGCATGCAGATAAACAAACACAAATGAATATCAAAGAGAATCACTAGAATGGCTTCTGCCACCCGGCAAACTATGAGTATTGAACACATTTACAAATGATGGTACAATACAATCTGACCACAATAGAACTACCAAAGATGTCAAAACGAGTTTAATCCTATTCCTTAACATATATATATATATTATGGGACCTCAATAACACTCGTCACAAACAAACAGAGTATGTGAAAATCTTCTTTTAAATAAGTCAGGAAAACCTATCTCGGTATCAAGTTGGTCGAAACAAGTAAAAGAATACTTTCGTAACCCAGAGAATGGCCTTACAAAGCGTGACAATTTAGAAACGTAAAATACTCCTTTGTTACATTTGTTGCAAACTAGCGAGTAGTACAAAAACCAACCGTTAAGTCAAAAACGCACGCAAGAGTAGTAATTCTTAATATCACCGGTTACTTAGATTCCTAGTTCAGTATTATAAAGACATGTCAGAGTCTAGTTCCAAGTGGAATGAAACTTTTTTATACACACATAAATTGCTAGAAGATCTGCATGAGCGAAATCATTATACAAATTTACCATCAACCTTAATAAATGTATTGTATGTATACTCTCCCGACTTATAAATAAAAAAACTAACCTGACGTCGATCCCTTAGGCGAATCTCCAAGTGAATGCTTCAGAAGAATGTAAGTCAGAAGTAGAAACAGCAAAATCGACATAATGAAAAATATTTCCTGTTTTATTAAATTAAATCCGATTTCATCTCATAGTTCCTCAGAATGCGTCTCTGCAGCTGTAAATTCACATGGGGTATGAGTTGCACTGGTGAGAATTATATACTAGTACTATTCTTAAATATTAGGGATAGAACAGCTTTCCATCTGTTGGTGTCTAACTGGCATAAATACCATAGCCAAGCCTTTCGATTTGAAACAGAGACAGCAGAAGGAAATCCCGCTCGTTATTAGTGTTAATTGGTAAGGTTAAACAAACTTCACGGTAGCCGTACTTTTATATTAACTAAGATGATATATCACAGACAGTGAAAATATAGTTTTTTGAGCCTTTAAGCTCATGTTATTCACTGGTATTTGCTGAGTATTCTTGAAGCCTCGTTCTTGAAATATTTGGCAGCAATAATTCATTTTGGCACAACGTTCATAATTATCATTACATTTCTGTAGATTTGATATTTCGACGCAAAGGCAACAGTGTCCGCACTCCTGGGACGCTATTGTTGAACTTTGCCATCAGGGCTTTTTCCATCTCTCTCCTCTATATTGCGGTGTATCAGCTGGCTGTACAAAAACAAGTGTTAACCGGGAAAGCGTCTGGACGAGTACAGAGAGCTCGTTAATTACGCCTAAATTCATTCCTGATCGACATTGAGGGAACAAGAAGTACTAACTAAAAGAGTGGCTGTTAACTCATAAAGATCTCAGACAAGACATATCATAATATATTAATCCTCATTATGAAAGAAACACATGATAGTTCAGTTGGAATTGGGACTGAAAGATATCCTACGAATCTGCGTAGGATCCACGGGATTGACAAGAAGCTGGACAAAGTAGTAGATGTTAGGACTGAGGCATTATCTGCTTCCTAGATCCGGATAATGGCATTCGAATGCATTTTCTAGCATGTAACCTTCAACATGCTGGATATTTTCAGTCACCAATCACTTTTGTTTCTTAAGATAAGGAAACGGTGATGATCAAGTCTTCGGCCATCTAAATGCATATTACTGTCCTACATATTGGAGCGATTCACATTCGTGTACACTTCCATATCTGTTGATTAGTATATATCACCTTCCCTCAGTTTGTCAGGTTGAAATCATATTACCGTTTTCCTGGGGGAAAAGTGGACCAAACATTCACTATGGATATGAGCTAGTCGAATTTCGCTTTCTGCTCACCATGACTAACATTCACCGTGACTGATAAACAAACAGTATTTAATTTTTCAAACGTCAGTATAAGGTAATGCATCTTCTGTACTCATTTCTGACCGGATATGTCTATATGTGCACACATTTGTCCGAATACATTTTCTCTATTAAATAAACAATCTCGGAAAGGACTTCGAATTTGTGGAGTTTGTTTTGAGGAAAGTAGATATTCATGCATCTAGTTTGTGGCCATGAAAGCTTGTGCGTTCCCCGACAATCTACGAGCAGTAGCAAGCTAACAACTATAACGCTACTTTTGGTTCAAAACGTCTACAACTACCACTGCATCAAATGTCCCCTTCACTTTGAAACGACCAATCTAACATTTTTCGCACATAAACTGACTACATTCTTTTTCCTTTGATGTTGAATGAATACAGCCTGTGAAGTATTTAATATGATCATGGACCTAAAGGACTTCTCTGTAGTGGAGTTTGAACTGGTCACATCAGGTCTAAATTAATGGCCAGGGAGATCTATTCATAGGTCCCATAATTATCGATACTCTCCGGAAGCTAACTCCATATGGGCTACAAAGTAGCCTCATGAGGGAATATGATTAGGAGCAGAAAATATGTCTGTAGTTTTCTGTATATTAAGGGTCGTCAACTGAATGAATAACATAATACATCGATAAGAATTTCCGTTCTGTAACTTTCCTCGTAAGCTCTGATATACGCATCTTTCATCAAGGCCTCTGATCCATCCTAGTGTCTTCAGTGTAGGCTCCATTCATTACAGAATGCCATGATCAGTAGGATGTAGTTAGTGACAAAGGAATTCATAAAGATCAGACAAGCGACTAAGTATGAACTTTGCCCTCTTTATGATTCATAAGGCTCTCTTTATCTACCAACAGATATTTAATGACGAATACCCTTCCGTCTGTCTGACTTGATCTACCCGCTCCACTTGCTCACTGGTATGCTTTCGAAGTGGATATTTATAATACATAGGTGTCTTATGCACGTTATGGGTAGGTAATCTGGGCATTCATTTTGACAGAGGAATAGGTAACTAAAACAGCACTAAACAAATAGCAGATTTTGAGCACTCTACCTATGCCGACTCTTACAAAAGGTTGATATGGAGGACCGAAGAGCATTTTATATGGCCATAGTATTGAAGGCATGATCGTAGGCAAAATTTTATGAAAGTCTGTCCCTAGGACTGCTTTCAAAGCTAGTGCACCTGCTAACGGCAGCAACTACATACTTCACACAGAATGGAGGAGCGAATATACTAGTGGCAAACTAATTTCGTAGGGAGATACGATAAGAAAATGTAACAATTTTTTTAGGTTCTCACCGTTTTTATAGGCATGATAGTCAATTTTCCCATGCCAGTTAGAACTATGACGATGATAAAGCCTTAAAGCTTCGATTTTTGCGGAGGATTTTATCCAGAGGATAGTTTTATTTGCTGGTTTAACGGAAGAAAGTCATCTCCAGGCACTCAAAATACAGTCATACGACGATACGTATATGCATCCACTAACGGCAAATGCAACTTTAAAACAATTAATAATTAGAGGGCCGTCGAAAAGTTGAAGCTGAACAACAGTTTGGTCGTCCGAAATGTATATTAGAATCAGGAACGTAGGACAGTGATGTTCGCTTAGCTTATTGAAAGGTGTGTGCAAATAATTCATTGAGGAATAACTAAGTGACACCTGCTAAGTGTGGCAAATTTTCATACTGGTTTTAAATCGATGATGTTTCGTATTACGTTTTCGATTCTCCTTCGGACATCTCCAGCTATCCCCTCTGTGGTCGAAATCATACTGCCTAGATAAGCGAATATGGTGATTTCCTTTAAAATTTCTTTTTTTGATTCTGTGGTTAGTTCTCAATGTTGTTGGTTTGAAATCTTCGTAACCTTCGTCTCTTCCATATTCACTGTACGCACTAGAGTTCGTGTAGCACTGGATATCAATCGCCCACGAATTCCACATCTTCCAGAGTCTACTTGTCTGTCCGACCAACGCCCACCATCTTCCTCCCCACAGTATGTTGCATGACCCGATCCAATCCAGTTAGGAATATTATCAATGTCAGTAGGCAGTCTCGCCCTACTCCCGTCTTCACTTCTAAGTCTCCTGTAAGTTTTCTTTAGTGGATCACCTGATATGTTGGACTACCATATAAATGTTGAGGGAGTTTTGTGGTGCTACACTCTGCAATGTAGGAGCAGTTTCCAAATCACATGTTAGTCAGTGCTATCGGAGGCTTCTCCATAGCCGATGAAAATGAGTTAAAGAGATGACTACATTTAGCGTCACGTTCGATGATGCTACGCAGAGTCGTGACTCGTCCACAGACGAATTTTTTCCTGGACCTAGCTTATTCAAGCCATAGCTTCACAATCAGAGCATCTTTAGGTCTCTCCAAGGTGCAGTTACTGAAGAACAAGTAAGTGTTCTTTCCCACAGTTCTCAAAAGTGAAAGCGGCTATTTATCCAAACCGCCAATAATTCTGGTATAGACACAACCTCCACTTCTTTCCAGGAAACAGGCATTGCATCCCTGTGGAATGATGCGTTAAAGTTTTGTATATTGGGATAGCACAAATTATGTGCTCACTTTTGGAATGATGTTATTTGTAATCCATTAGGGCCTAGGCAGTGTGTTGAACTTGAGGGCTTGAGGCATGTTAATACATCTTTTTCATCGAAAACCCAAAAATAATCGATCCTATGAATGGAGGCAGAGGTCACAGCCGTGAACAGAATATATATATGTATATATAAATTTATAAATCACTCTTTGAGGACTCCACTTGCTTTCTTCTGTGCTGCTGTCGTTTGTCTCCTTGTTTCTCTCACCATTTAAGCTTCTATATGACTTTCTGAATAGGAATAAAGAATGCAGATATTTGGCCCCTTACAATGACGAATGATCTGCAAAGATTACTGGCCCCCATATCCTGAAAACTCCTCGTAAGTTACCCATCGCCTTCCTCCGTGACGCATTCTGGATGACAAATGTGGAATATTCCCTTTACACTACTAAAATATCCCAATAACTACCTATACGAAGCCAATAAATCTGGTTATTTAAGAAATGATGAACATATGCCGATGGTTTCATTTGAAATTTCACCGACTTGCGTGATGATAATTTCCAGATTCTACATGTTTCAACTGGCATTTTATGTGGATTAGTTCGCCATTATTTTGGTTTCTGGCTGTGTATGGACTGAAAATAGCAATTTCATCATCTTATAAATAACCTGCCATGATCATCTCCAGTAACGCAAACGTCAAATATGACGCGCATTTTTGGTTAAATTCTTTCAATGGAGATGCTTTGTACTGTACTGTATGCATCATTTTCTCCTGAGTAAAGCGATATTATAGGTATTATTCCATAAATCTTTTCTGTGTATATCTTGTATTAGTGATTAATAGTAAATATGCTCACTCCTCATTTGTTTTCATGTGTTTTTCATTCATTGAGAAGCACAAAAACCTTTATTATGATGAATATCATGTACCCAATGCCCAAATTTTTTCTAACTGTTAAAGGTGAACTTGGCATGAACATATATTGATCATGATGACAAATCCAAATCACTATTTATGCAGTGCCAATAAACCTGGATATCTAAGAAGTAATGAAAATATGCCGAAAGTTGCATTTCGAATCCTACTAACCCATTCGATGTCAATATTCAGTTACTAAATGCTTGATTCGACATTTTGTATGGATTGGTTCGCAGTCATTCTGGTTCCTGAACGAAAAGAATCAAAGGTGACTCTAAAATATAGCAGCCCAAAACGAAACCACCAATTTCTGTAAATAAATTCGTCAAGGTCATCAATTCGTTCATTAGGTAGTTTCGTTTTGTAGTCACTGAACCAAAAACCCACCGATTGCTGATCCATTATTACTTCTCTGCATGTTTAACTGGGTACTAGCTGCCTCTAGCAGATTATATTGCTGAAAACATTGTTGTCGATTAACTAACTAACGTTTTACAAGCCATTTTGGCTAAGTTCAACTTTAAG